TGCCGAAAATATGTATTCTTGCCAAACCAACAGAGAAGAGATGAACCAAAGAAAATGACAAAAACTTGTAGTATTTGGTGGCTGCCAAATTCCTTTAACTTGAAGACTCCAAACCAAGCCTTGGATATGCCAAGAGTCATACACGGGTAAGCCACCAAAATTAAAGCCATGTGCTGACCAAGGTGCATGCCAAAATTAAGAAAAACTATATTTAGGAAATAGATGGATCCCACAAGGAGGGAAACCCAACAATTCTCCCCCTCCTGACTTATGTGGAAGATTCGACCATTCCCTCCAAAAGTCGACACTTCTCATGCTTGTCCTTAGTCAATGCCTTAGTCAACATATCCGAAGTGTTATCATCAGTGTGAACTTTTTCAAGTTGCAACAACTTATCATTCAAGACATCACGAATCCAATGATATCTAACATCAATGTGTTTCGATCTCGAATAAAATGAAGAATTCTTACTCAAGTGGATTGCACTCTAACTATCACAATGAAGGACATACCTTTCTTGTTTCAAACCCAACTCTTGTAAGAATTTTTTCAACCACAATAATTCTTTGCAAGCTTATGTGATGGTGATGAACTCAGCTTCTGTGGTGGAGAGAACAACACATTTCTGTAATATTGATTGCCATGCCACTGCTCCCCCTGCAAAAGTAATCAAATAACCAGAAGTAGATTTTCGACTATCAACATCACCAGCCATATCAGAATCTGTGAACCCATCAAGAATAGGCTTGCCTTTACCAAAACACAAACTCATCTTTGAAGTGCCCCGAAGATACCTCAGAATCCATTTCACTGCTGCCCAGTGTTCTTTCCCTAGATTAGACAGAAATCAACTAACAACCCCAACTGCGTGAGCAATATCCGGTCAAGTACAAACCATGGCATACATCAAAGAACCAACTGCTGAAGCATAGGGAATTTTCTGCATCTCATTTTTCTCTTCATCACTTGTAGGATACTGACTTGAGCTAAGTTTGAAGTGGCCTGCAAGTGGACAATTAACAGGTTTTGCTTTGTCCATATTGAACCTCTCAAGAACCTTTTTAATATAATTCTCTTGAGATAACCAAATCAGCCCATGTGATCCGTCACGAATAATTCTCATCCCAAGAATTTGTTTTGCGGGACCCAAATCCTTCATAGCAAAGGACTTGCTCAACTCTGACTTCAACTTGCTAATCTTGCTCGTGTCTTGGCCCACAAAAAGAATATCATCAACGTAAAGCAAGAGAATAATAAAATTACCATTTGGATATTTTTTTACAAACACACAATGGTCTGAAGTGGTTCTTGAATACACATGCTCAGTCATGAAAGAATTGAATTTTTTGTACCACTGCCTCGGTGCTTGCTTCAATCCATACAAGCTCTTCTTCAATTTGCAAACTAACTAATCATTACCCTTATCTATGAAGTCCTCAGGTTGCTCCATATAAATTTTCTCTTCTAAGTCACCATGCAAAAATGCGGTCTTCACATCAAGCTGCTCAACTTCTAAATTCATACTCGCAGCTATACCAAGCACAGTTCGAATGGAGGACATCATCACAACTGGTGAGAAGATCTTATCAAAAAACAACTCCCTTCCTCTGATCAAAACCTTTCACAACAAGTCGTGCCTTGAATCTCGGTTGAGAGCTGTTCCCATCATTCTTTCGTCTAAAGACCCATTTATTTTTCAAAATTTTCTTCCCTTTAGGCGGCTTCACCAAATCATAGGTGTGATTCTCATGCAAAGACTTTATTTCCTCTTTCATTTCCTTGAGCCATTTAGTTTTGTTCTCATGCTTCAAGACTTCTTGATAAGTCTTTGGCTCCCCCTAATCTAATATCATCACCTACTCATTTGAAGAATATTTTATGGATGACTGTTTTTCTCTGGTAGATCTCCTTAACGGTGTCTGTGGTAGTGGCTCTTGGGATGGCTGCTCCCCCTCAATCTCTGGCTCAACATCATCTTCTACTACATCATCATGAGGTGTCTGCACTTCCTTATCAATATCATGAACGGAAGGTGGATCAAGAGGATCTAAATCAACAAGATCATCAATACTAGACTCAGCTGACTCAAGCTTGTCAATGTCTTCAATAGTCTGATCTTCCAGGAAAACAACATCTCGGCTTCTGACAACTTTCTTGTCAACTGGATTATACAACCTGTAGCCAAATTCTTCATGCCCATCGCCAAGAAATATGCACTGCTTTGCTTTTGGATCAAGCTTGGACCTCTCATCTTTTGGAATATGAACAAAAGCTCTGCAGCCGAATACCCTCAAGTTATCATAGGAGACTTCCTTCCCTATTCAAACTTTCTCTGGCACATCACCATTCAATGGAACTAAAGGAGACAAATTGATAAGATCAACTGTTGTCCTCATTGTCTCACCCCAAAAGGATCTTGGCAATTTAGAATGCGAGCAAACATCTGACTCTCCCAAGAATGGTGTGATTCATTCTCTCTGTAACCTCGTTCTGTTGAGGTGTCTTTTTGACTGTCTTTTCATGCCTGATGCCATGATTGGTGCAATACTAATCAAATGGTCCAATATATTCACCACCATTATCCAAGCGAACACATTTCAATTGTCTACCAGTTTCTCTTTCAACCTTGGCCTGAAAGTGCTTAAACATATCTAGAACTTGATCTTTAGTTTTCAGTGTATAAGCCCAAACTTTTCTAAAGTGATCATCAATAAAAGTGACAAAGTATAGAGCACCACCAAATGTCCTAACTTTCAAAGGACCACATACATCAGAATGTACCAAATCTAGAACATAAGATTTTCTAGATGTAATGTTTCTACGGAATGATGTTCTGTTTTGTTTACCATGGAAACAATGAACATATGTTTTAAAAGGCGTACCTTTTATCCCCGCTAGAAGCTCTTTCTTGGACAAAACTTGCAATCCTTTTTCACTCATATGTCCAAGCCTTCTATGCCATAAATCGGTGGATGAGTCATTCTCTAAGGTATTCACAACACCCTTGCAGATTTTTGCTTGCATAGTGTGAAGAGAACAAGTCTTCTTTCCTTTTGCTACCACTAGAGAACCTTTGGAGAGCTTCCATTTTCCATCACTGAAATTGTTGTTGTAGCTCTCATCATCCAACTTTCCAACAGAGAATAAATTGAGTCGAATATCCGATACATGCCTCACATCTCTAAGCCTTGCATCCAATATTTGTTTCCAAGCAAATGTCACCCATGTCAACAATTTTTGACACATCTTCATTTCCCATACAGACATTCCCAAAATCACCTTGTGAGTAAGAAGTAAAGAAATCAATTACCCAATCCGTCTCTTGGCCAATCAAATTAACGCTAGCATCATCACAGATAATCATGAGTTCACCATCGGTAACTACAACTGTATCATTTTGATTTTTCTCTGAATTTTTCTCTTTGTTTTGCTCCTTGAACTTGAGTTTTCTACACTCCCGCTTCATGTGCCCTTTCTTGTGACAATAATAGCATTCAACATCTTTCTTTGAAATCGAGCTTGTACGACCTCTAGATTTATCACGGTTGTGCGGAGCACTACTCTTACTTCTGCCTCTTCCCCGGTTTTATTTCACAAGTGCCTCAGAGTGAGAAGTACCTGATGATTTTCTTCTTGTCTCTTCATTCAACAGGCTATTGGTAACTTGACTCATTGTTACCACTCCATCAGGTGCGGAGTTACTAACTATGACCACCAAAGTTTCCCAACTTTCAGGAAGTGAACTAAGAAGTAACAAAGCTTGCAGCTCATCATCAAAAGTAATTTTCATGGCGGCCAACTGATTCACAATGCTCTTAATCTCATTCAAATGCTCTGCAATAGGAGTACCCTCCTTATATTTAGAATTCACAAGCTTTCGAAATAAAAAGGCTTTATTCACGACCGTCTTTCTATCATAAACACTCTCCAATTTGGTCCAAAAACCATGTGTTGAATTTTCTGTAGAGACGTGATGAAAGACACTATCATCAATCCATTGTCAAATAAAACCGACAGCTTTTTGGTCTAGCTTTTTTCACTCGTCATCTTTCATTCCTTCCGGTTTGCCACTATCACCCTCTATGGGTCCATTCAAATCTTTACAAAACAAAAAGTCTTCCATTTTAGTTTTCCAATTCACCCAATTTGTGCCATTGAAACTAACCATACGCCCAACGTTGTCGTCCATAATTCACACTCACAAATATAACTAATCGGAACCGAAATAATCAATTACTCTGATACCAGATATTGGGAAAAATAGGTTTTCCCACAAGTGTAAATCAATGGAAGCAATATAAATAAAATAACATAAAATAAATAAGCACACAAGATTTACATGGTTCCCTCAAATTGTGGTACGTTCACGACGACCGGTAGGTCAGTTTCTTCCACTATCACCAAAAAAGTTTACAAAGTGGTCAAAAGGCATAAGCCTTACAAACACACCAAGGTGTAAATCACAAGAGGAAAAATACCTCACAAAATAAGTAAACCAAATCTCCAAGAGCAAACCGCAAGAAACCCCAAATATCAAGTGAAGAAATGTTACCCACTTGAAGAACAAATTGCCGATTTTGTGCCACCAAAATGGAGAAGAAGAAGACTGAATTTTTGTTGAACCAAAGACTGCCGAAAATATGTATTCTTGCCAAACCAACAGAGAAGAGATGAACCAAAGAAAATGACAAAAACTTGTAGTACTTGGTGGCTGCCAAATTCCTTTAACTTGAAGACTCCAAACCAAGCCTTGGATATGCCAAGAGTCATACACGGGTAAGCCACCAAAATTAAAGTCATGTGCTGGCCAAGGTGCATGCCAAAATTAAGAAAAACTATATTTAGAAAATAGATGGATCCCACAAAGGAGGGAAACCCAACACTTTCAACTAACGGGCAAGGCGAGGTCTTCATTGGATTTATCTGAGGAGGATTGGAATATTGTTATCAAAACAAACTTAGTAGGAGCTTGGTCGGTGTCAAAGTACGTTGGTATGCGAATGCGTGCTTTGGGTCGGGGAGGATCCATTATCAATATTTCTTCTACTGGTGGTCTAAACCGACCAGTACCACCTGGATGTACTGCCTATGCTTCTTCAAAGTCAGCCATGGACACCATGACAAGGGTAATATTTTCTCTTGTTTCACATTCTCCTTTTAACATAAATATATGATTTAGTTGTTTGGGCAAGAATTATGACCCTCTCGAACTATGAGATTTGTGTCACTCTAGCTCTCAGTTATTGAATTTTTTACATTGTCCTCTCAACCACATGTATTGGTTTCATACTCCTCGAAACGTAAACACACGTATTGATTGGATAAAAAATGTAAATGTTTTTGAGGTAAAGTGAAGGGCAATGTGAAACTGCTTTCCATTATATTTGTAATGGAAGTTAATCATTGTATATTTTATGAAACTAAAAAGCATAGTTGAAGGTGCAATGTAAGAAATATGATAGTTGAGGGGCAAAGTAACATAAACCTCATAGTTTGATGGGGCACGGTGTAATTAACCCGTGTCTAAAACTCAATGTTCCAGCTAGCAGATAGAATTAGAAACAATTTTCATTCAGACCCCTATAGGTAGACTACATAATTTTCTCATTACAATATTTAGGAGTATACCATACTCGATTATATTTTTGTTGTAGCTAGGCGTTCTCTCCTCGCTAGTTACATCTTTAATATCCGTTCGATGTTTTTGGACCCCTAAACACGTCAAAATTGTAATTAGTTTATTTTTTTTCTGTAATTACAACGTTCATCTTTTTTAATTGTTGAACGATGACAATGTAACGACAGGTAATGGCATTGGAATTGGGGCCATATAAAATCAGAGTGAATTCAATGGCGGCGGGACTTTTTCGATCTGAGATCACAGCGGTTCTAAAGCAAAAAGAATGGCTAAAAAATGTGGCTTCGAGAACTATTCCCTTAAAAACATCTGGCACATCAGACCCAGCGTTGACAACACTTGTTCGATACTTGATCCATGACTCTTCGAATTATGTCTCTGGAAATATCTTCATCGTTGATGCTGGGGCCACTCTTGTTACTGTCCCAATTTTCTCTTCACTTTGAGTTTTGTCTTCGAAAAACTAGTATTTCTGTATGTCGAAATTCATACTAGATTTTCCACTTAAGTATAGTGGTTCCTATTGGGCTTCAATATATCAATTGCTTTAACATTAAAGAGACTATTGTTGTCGCAAATTTCAAGTGGTACCTGGGTGTTTCTATCTAATGTGATTGAAATAGTTTGTGGCAAAAACTTTTGGTAGTGTTAGATTGGTTTTTATGGTTGGCTAAATTATATTGGTACCTCTATATATAGTTTTTTATGTTCTTAAGCGATAGCCTTAGAATTTTTAGTACTTCTTTATAATCTTAAGAGATAGCATTGAAGTTTTTAACACTAATAACCCTCTTAGATTTTGTATCTCACTGCTGTTAAAAATGATTGAACAATTACCAACATTTACCATAGGGCTCATATCAAAGGTTTGAAATATGAAAATTATCCCAGCTTCTTTTTAACTGAAAAATGGTGAAAAAGACCCCTATAGGACTTTTTTAAGTTAATAAGACCAAGCATAACTCTTTTGAGGTGTCAAGGATATGCAATTAAAAAGTTTTTTCGCCCTAAACGACATGTGCATAAAAGAATTTTGCCATTTACTCCAAACTAATAATCAAAGAGTGTTTTAATGAAAAACTATATCATCTCTCTCTCTCTCTCTCTCTCTCTCTCTCTCTCACCGATGCGATGCAGATTTCAATTTATCAAATGAAGAAGAAACCTCAACAAGTCAAAAAGAAGTCTACAAAAGTTATTCTTCATTGGAATATCGAACAAAAGTACAGTTGTCATTTGTTGGGCCATAGATTTGTATGACTAAGTATCTATACTGATAGTTTTTATATATTATTTTACCATTTGAAGTATAAAAAAATTAGAAATAGTTAAAAATATAGAATATGTCAAAACTTTGTGTGTTAACTAAACAAAAGGATAATTTGACTTGGAGATTGTTGGGTTTGGACATATGATGCATGCTTTTGTGTGTGCGCCCCTACATCTATTATAGAAGCACACTACTTAGTTCATTGTAATTGAAGTAATGGTGATTGAATTATTGGCAAAGCTGCCCGCCTCAAATCTTGTAAGGATGGCCTTCGAAATTCTGGAGGTATGGTCAATGGTGCAACCCAAGATGGCCAGGTTGTGATGGTGACCGATGCATTCTTGGGTCATGCCCTGGAATTCTGCCATGATCTGACCAAGGCTGGTTGCAAGGTCGCGGCAGCTACTCATTGAATGGATCAACAAAGTCTCTTTGTGACCAAGTCAATCAATTTACCTCTTCAACCACTTCACTGGTTGATTCCACAGCTAACAACACTCCTCGGGCTGCCGTTGATCGTCGCCCCATTGAGGCGTCTGAAAGAAAGCTTGGGATGCATTTGCTTATAATGGTAAGAAGTTCTTCATTGGTTATAGTTAAATCCATTTGATAACCGGGGCCTTTATTTATAGTGGTAAGAAGTTGTATCTTAAAGGACCTTAAACACTAGGTTGTGATAGAATGGACCTCATCACCAATTCCTAGATGTTTAGGGTAGAGTTAGACTAAGAGTCTTGTTCTTAGGTCCCTTATCACCAACTCTTGGATGTTCACAGTGGCATTTAACTAGGACTCTGGGTCCTAGGCTGAACCTTAGCTAAATAGGACTCGTCCCACGAAAGTGGATAAACAAGAGGAGCCCAAAGTACCTCTTGCCAAAGACCTGTGTAGCGGTAAAAGTTTAAATTCAAAGGAGTCAAAACGACACCACGAATGTGGAGTATTTAGCAGCATCATTTTGTGGTTGGGGGGGGGGGGGATGTTTACACCCAAAAATACCAAAATTTGACGATGACACGTGGAAGGAATCCGACAGTCATAAGGGAGTCTGTAAGAGTCCACAATCGACGGGACAGTTAAAGGAATAGGGCTCTTGAAATCCCAAAAAATGAAAAAAACATGCCATCATGAGCCACCAATTGGAACCGTTCAGCATCCATTCACATATCTTAAGGGACAGAGCTATGATAATGGGTTATGGCCGAAAAAGATGGATCAACGGTTGAGAGTCATCTCCATAAATAGAAGAGGCTAGGCTATTGGGAAGAGATCCCATGATCAAATCACAAATACTCTTTACAAAGCTAATCTATCTTTTTACTTAATCTTTACTTCCGAGCAATCTTTACTTTTCCTGTAATACATAATTCCGATGATATTTTATTGCTTTCATTTAATGCTAAGTTCAATGTTCCATTCGTCGTCCAGATTCGAATTTAATTTATTTGTTATTGTATTTTCACTATTTGAGCTTAGTGGTGTTCACACATTTTTGACCAGTGAAATTTTTTAAAATCCTTGAAGCTCCAAAGCATAGAAAAGAACTTAGAGGTAACTTTATGCCTTACTACAGTCGTCTGAATATTACGATTTTTAGAACCCCAAGCCGATTCGAGTAGGTAAGGTCGTACGTGTTTTAATTTTAAGTTCACCTAAACTTTGGCACGCCCGTGATCCAAAAATACGCTAAACAAATCGTTACAATGAATATTTAAGTAAAAAATATTATTGTAGAGATTATCTGGTACAAGAGCGAAATCGACGAAGGGAAAATCATATACTTTTGGCTTTTAATAATTGACTATTCGTTGCACACATGGGCTGCACGTGAATTATTTTTAAATTGTAGTTTTTTTGTAGTCTATTGAAAATTTATTCTTGTTATCTTGATCAATCATTGGCTAAGATATAAAGAAAATAATTTCCCTTGTAATTTTAAAAATGGAGATAACTAACAACATAACACAAGACAATCTCATTAATATTTCTCCTCAACCTTTTGAGATATGAAAATTTTATACTACAAAGAAAAATCAGATTTACATTTACAGACCGAAAAGTAACTATGACACTCTAATATTGCCAAAGTAAGGCACATAATTGAAATCATTCCCCCAATAGCTAACATAACTTGAGATTTTCCCAAAAGGCGATCGTATACTTTCAGCTTTAACAAGAGATTGAAAAACTAAATTAGTCCCCTTGCGCAATTAGCAATGTGAGTCTTACATGGCATATATAAATAAAGCTTTGTGATGTAAGAATAGAAGCTTTCACCGGAACAATATTGACAACGTTCCTTCTCCCTCTTGATCCTTGAGACAAACACCTACTAGCACTTTCCACATGCTCTAGTATTGTGTAAGAATTAAAAATAGTAGAATGAGAAATAGGATTGTATGCATGCATGTCTTCTATCCAAATTTTTTCAACATATATACCTTCAAATGCTTCAATGAGAATTAGCATGGATTCGTGGACACATGTACCGAGGATGCCTTTAATGCAGTATTACTCTTTTGAAAAAGAGGAAATTTCCTCTGAGACTTCAACCTACTATCTTGACCCATCTTGATCAATGTAAAAAAAGGGCCGACTATTCCAAGGACTTGGATTATGATACTCTAAGGTAGCCAAGAAACATAATTAAGATACTTGTTTTCATTAGTCAATTTTAGCAATCTTGAAGATAAAGCCAAAGTCATATCTCTGCAAATTTGATAGCTAAAAGTATTTCAAACTTACTTATTAGCAAAAGATATAATTTCAACCTCTTAAAAAGATTCAAAATTGCTCAACAAATAAAAAGCTAATAGTTCCACCATTGGCTCATCAAACCTGGCAATCTATTCTTCATTTCTCAAGCATAACTACCCCTACAGATAGTCCTTGTAGGATCTCAAAATAATATTAAACACTCGAAATAATCTCACACCACACAAAAGTTTAATCAAAGAAAAAATGTCAAGGAAGAAGACAAAGCAAGCCAAAACTTGTGGCAAAACAACAAACAAAGAAAACAGAGGAGCTTGGCTATAACGTCAAACCCAAAATAAAATCTTCTGCCATAGATCATTGGTTCTACAATACTCTCTTACAATTTAAATTTAAAGGCTTTAAATATAAAAGACATTTAATCTTATTAAAAAAAACTAATAACACAAATTCTATTATAACTTTAATTAAACTACTCCAATCTAACTAGTATACTTTAGGGGTTAAAACTCTTAAACCCATAAAACTCTAATTAAAAACTAATACCAAATAAATGAGGAATAAAATATTTGGAGAGTTTGGGTCAAACTCCAACAGCCTCCCTTTGAACAAAACTCTTCAATCTTAATCATCCCCCATCATCCGCTTAAACTTCATGAACGCATTAGATTTAAGTGACTTGGTAAAAATATATGCAATTTGATCATCGGATTAAAAATACAAAATTTCAATCTCACCATTAATAACCAAGTCACATATATACTGGTACTTGACATGAATATACTTTGTAAAATCCGAAAAAGAAAATTATTATTATTATTATTATTATTATTAAAAATCCTAATAAAAGGGGTAAAATAATAATTAATTGTTAAATTATGGGTCAAAAACATAAATTTCAAAAAAAAATATATAATTTTTTTTTTGTTTCTTCTGGAGAGACGGTGAGACAGAGTGTGAGAGAGAGAAAAGTGAGTGTTTTTTTTTTTTTTTTTTCTCTTTTCTTTTTCCTCAGATTTACGAAGATTGGACCGTTTAATCGCTTCAGGCCAAGAACTAAAGTTGTTCTACTCAGCGAGAGCTACGCAACCACACCAAATATCGTATTTTTCTCCGAAAGAATATCAAAGCCGATAATCTGGGTCTAAAATTTAGAAAGCTAAATTTGGGCTTCCTTGACGTTCTAGTAAGTGGGCTCACGCTACGAGAGGTAGGGTTTCCCCTATTTAGATTTAATTTCAACTTAAAATATGGCATATGGAATGGATAGACTATGAGTGTATATCACATGTTAGGTCTTGACTAGTGTGACTAGTGGGTCAAATATAAGAATTTTAATTAATCTTGTGATTAATAAAATTCTATTGTGATTAACTTGGTGTAAGTTAATGTTAGTGGTTTAAAGCATGTTAATTGTATATTAACATTACTTTATATTTTAATGACAAATCAAGTTTAATA